GGGGGGGGGGGGGGGGGACAACCACTGCGAGCGTGGTGCGTGGGACTGCTGAGGAACACTGGCACAGGAGAACGAGCTGCTACTGTCGGCGTGGGAAGCGGCAGCAGTCAATGTAAAAGAAAATGGATTCGTTAATGGGGCGAGCCGGGGTCGGCACAGGGGTAGCTGGTCGGGTTCTTCAGCCGCTCCGTGGCAGGCTCATGGGAACCGAAACCGGAGTGCACACGCCGCCGAAGTATCTCTCGATCGACCACCTTCGTACGCTGCACCAGGAGCTAGTGCCTTTGCTGGACTCTGTCGATGGCGTCTCTCTTACTGCGAGGCAGGAGCTCAGACTGATCGAAGTGCTTCGCTCCATCTCCGAACTGGTGAGGAAGGGCGCACTTCCACAGCTACTTGCAGACGGCACACAAGTACCTTTTCTCCCCGCATGCACATGTTTTTTCAACGTACGCGCGTGGCTGGGTGTGACCAGATGCAGATTATCGGGGTCGTGTGTGTTGACGATGTCGGTGGTTGTCACACACTCACGGGGGAAGATATCGCACAGCAGTACAGCACAATTCTTCCCTCTTGCTGTACTGCACGAGCACAATGTGGAGGAGAGTTTTGGTATTGATACCAATGTTCGTACCTACAGCTGCACAGCAGCCGCGGGCCCTCTGTGTAGCAGGGTGGCACCGCTACCGCTGAACACCAGGGCACGTATGCGAATGTGCCAGCCGATGATTCACCCTCCCTTACGTAAGCGGGGGCACGCCGTGCAGTTCTCAAAGCACCGCACAACGTGACGTGATTAGTCATACCTGCGCCAAGAGATTTCTCCCGTCCTTTTTCCGGCCACCCGACCTGTAGAAGGCCCACGACTGCTGTACATGATTCACGAACACCGTACAAAACATGTGCTGTGTTACGGGCAGCGTCTTTGATATCCGGTAGAGAAGGTAGCCGATAAGTTCATCAGCGATCAGCACGAGCGACCAACCCTTCCGTCCGTCGTTGCTTGGCCGTGGCCAGGTGGCGTTTGGGGAGGCCGGCGAGGGGCCAGAGTACTTCGAGTTTTTCTGCGAGAAATCCACCATGGCGCTTTTCGTCAAAGCCCTCCGTCTGGGACCGGCGGTGAAGACTCAGGTGACCAACCGCGCGAAGGCACACCTCAACACACCAACACCCAGGGCGCAAAGCAAGGCCCAAGCAATCTTTACCCTGGAGTGGTGAACCGTCGCCTTTGATCCTCAACCCCGCCCCCCCGAATTAAATCATCTGATGCATGCCAGCAAATACCGGTTGCAGGTGGTGCAATTACACCTTCTCCCTGAGCCGTGCGTTGTGGCCAGCCTTAAGCTGCAACGGTAAACTCCGTGCCGTTACGGCAAGATACATTTTGTCACGCGCTAATGGAGAACCCCTTCCCCCTACCGGAAAAATGTACCCACCCAGGTCGTCCAGGGGGTTTCGGTCCTCTTCCAAAACCTACGCAGCCCCACGTCGCTCTACATGCTGCTCTCGTCGGACCACATCAACAGGCTCATGCAGCCCGAGGGAGGTGCGGCGGAACTACCCCTGGACGACGAGGAGTTCCTGACGAACTACATTGCTCTGCTCAAGGCCATCGCGATCCGCCTGGGCAAGGAGACGGTGCGTGCGTTTTGAAGCGCTTGTTAGCGCAGGTGCTGCTGACCCCACGAAGCCCGAAAGACTGCGCGAAGCGCTTGCTCCGAAAGGTTTGTTTAGGTCCATAAACCTCATCTCCGTCCCTTTCTCCCCCCCCCG